TTTTCTTTTCTTCGGAAATTACGGTTATCACTTTTAAACATTTTCAATTCTTCTTCTTGCTTGCGCCAGCAACGAATCATTTTTTCTGTTGGTGGAGGACCAAAATGTCTTTCAACAACTCTGTTTCCATGCTCTTTTGCATAATTAATCACACTTAATTTAAATTTAGCTGTGTATGATAGTCTCTTTTCTTTAGACATCTTAAAGGGTGAAAAAATAGAACGAAAAATGAAGAAACAACTATTTTGCTCCCGAGGCCTAAGATACGGTATATGGACTTTCGGTGACGTATCTAACTTGACAGTAAGCACGTGCCAAACTGCAGAGTATCAAATGAAAATTGAAATACCGATTACGCGATTACCGATGCTAATTGCATTAAGCGCTCTGACTGGTCAAGCGCATTGCATATTTGAATCCAAGGCAAGCACTCAAAAACGATTTTTTTATTTGTTAAAGTTAGGCCTGAAACGGCTTTATTCTGCTCCATATTAAACAGGGATCGTCGTGTATTTAAAAGCTTTTTCACTCTCATCCATTACTGTAATTTATTTTTTTTATTATTTAGGGCGCATTATAAATAGTTATATTTTTAAAAGAAAAAACTACTATTGTTATAAATAACACATTCAACTGAACTAAACTATGTATGCCTATTTAAACATATTTACACATGGCTTGTGTATATCGTATATATACACACATATATTATTTATACAGGACGCAAGCTGATTTTGACATCAAATTTTGGGGTAAAAAAGTGCGTCTTATACACCGAAAAATACGGTAGTGACAATTATTCACTCATATATCTATTATAATAATGCTCAGTTTTTGTCTGTCCTGAAAATTCACAGGGCACTTTACTATTTAAATACGCATGAACGCGTACTTGAACGGATGGAAAGAAAAGGCGGATGTAAGTATACTTTAGTAGAAGTTTTGCACAACAACATATTTATAGCTTACTGAAATTTTAAAAATGCCTAGCGTTAGGCCGTAGAATAACATTATAATTTTATTGATAATATGAAGTACGGTAAAGTTTAGCCCTAACGAAACTAAAGCTAAAAACGTACATAAGTTACAATATTAATTTACCACTTTATCCAATATAGGTCATATTTAATAAAGGCTTAACTAATGTTAGGCCAATGACAAGTGATTTTACAGATTTCGGTGTCTGCGATTACATTTCTTTTCTGTTAATCCAGAAATACTGTATTTATAGATGTAGTGTTGCAATAAAGATACTAATTTAACCTCAAATGTTTTGCGGGTCTCTGCTAGTATATGACATAATAAACACATTGGCAATAATATGATGTGTGGAATCTTACAGATTTTCCATTTACTATAGACAGTTTACTAGAATAAAAGTTTGTGCAATATCAGTATTTCTGTAGATGAAGACTTTCTTAACTACTGCTTTCAAAATAATCACATATATGGTCGCTGAAAAGTTTCTGGAAAGGATCGACCATCCTGCTATAAAGAGTTTTAAATTTTCATTTAGGACTAATATCTAATTATTCTTTAAAATTGTGCTTGAATGATTCTTAAATTAAAGCCTAATGGTTAGCTGTTCCAATAATGAAAGTTCTGTGAAATAGAAAAAGAAAACTACTTATACACCTAACTAGATTCGTACTACATGCAATTTAGTCATTAGTGTGATGCTAAGGAAATCAACGTTGATCTGCAGGATTTACTGTAATCACAATAGAATTTCTACTTTCCATGAAACTCAGAAGGCTTTAAATATTAGATTCGATTATGCGCATAGCTACGGAAACTCTGTTATCTTCAGAAATTTCAATATCTATTTATCTAGCTCTTCATCTATCTGTTTCTCTATCTATTTATTTATTTGTCAAGCTATGTATCTATTGTAATTATTGAAATTAGTGTAAACTGTAAGGTAAAACGAATATTCATCATAATTTTACACACATTTGAGTTCGTTTTAGTGAATTTAAGTAAAAGGCAAAGTGACAAACAGGTAACAAAGGAAAGTGGGAATTATGAAATCAATTATTTGAATGAGTTCACCGCCAGACTGGTGATACTAAATTCCGACTTAAGGCGTCATATCATTAAATCTGTTAAACTCTTAATGACCATGAACCAGAAGCACTACACAAAATATTGAAATTAACACATTTGATATATTGCATAATATTCTGAAGGGTTCAAACTTTAGAGCACAATCAACATATCTTCTAACAACTAATGTCTCAGTCCTCTAGACAGATTGTTACTGTTTACAATATTAGGCACTAGAGGATTTTGTTCGTGAATTTCTCGTGATAGGAGAAACTACCATTTTAGACAAATAAATATTATATGAGTATTAGCGTTTCCTGCGTAACCTGTTTTATTCGTGTTAGGTTGATACAAAGAAACCAGATTCTGAGAATTAATCGCTTGAATGTCTTCTATTTGGGATTTGTTTCACATATTTGCACCATTTTTATTGCTAGGATTTAATAACCTAGTTTATTGTTTATGACAGACCGTATTCAGGACTCCACTTTTCCAGTTGTATACTATCTCCACATCACAACTTCGAGCATATTTGGACATTAATTATACCAGTGCATGTAAATAATCAACTTGCTTATCATTTCATAATAATTACGTACTTTTGCTATCATACTTCTGCAAGTTTCGATTGCTTTATATAATTATAAAGTAAAGCATAGTGTATTATGGCACTCAAACGAGACAACAATGTTTTTAACCTAACAAAAGACGAATCGCTGTGGTAGTTTGTTTATTGTTGTTTCGGGGGAGGTGGAGGTGCAGGAGGGGATATGTATTAATTACAATTTTTGTTTGTTTTTACAGGTACATTGTTAGCCGGGATGACGATCATCTGTGGCTGCAAAACAGAACATAGGAGTCGGGTGAAAGCGATATTTTACAATATTCTGGCGTCTATCCTGCAGTTAGTTTTGGCACCAGTTGTGATCGGGTGGGTTTGGAGCATAATGTGGGGAATTACATTCGTCAACATCAGTGGTAAGTTTGATTGGAAATTAGTTTGTGAACATAAGTGGTAAGTTTTACTAAGGAATTGATTCTTGATAATCAGTGGTAAGTTTTACTAAGGAATTGATTCTTGATAATCAGTGATAAGTTTTACTAAGGAATTAATTCGTGATAATCAGTGATAAGTTTTACTGAGGAATTGATTAATGAAAATCAGTGGTACGTTTTACTAAGGAATTAATTCGTGATAATCAGTGATAAGTTTTACTGAGGAATTGATTAATGAAAATCAGTGGTACGTTTTATTAAGGATTTATTCGTGATAATCCGTGGTAATTTTTACTGGGAAACTGATTCGTTGATATCAATGTTAAATATTACTGATAAAGCTAAAACTTAAAAATGACGATGTCAGGTTTTTATAAGGCCGCGATTCTTTACAGTAGGTGTCTGTGATTTGTTAGCGATAAATTATAAGAATAAACGGTCAGCATTCAATCAACTCGTTTTAAAGTAATATATTCAAAACAAGTCAAACATATTTACAAAAAATTTGTTACACTACTGGTTACCATAGTTGAATATAGAGCTTTAAATAATATTTTTGTTTGTCAAAAGTCCACACAGGCTGGTTCAGTTACTTTAGAATCCAAATTAAAATATTAATTATTTCTCCTCTCCTCTGTTATCACCATACAATTACGTTACCCCGTGGGTTATCACAGTTGTATCCAGAACTTTAAATAATTCTATTTTACGTCAAAAGTCCACTCAGGCAAGTTCAATTACTTTAGAACACCTTTTGACAAGACAAATTGTTCTCCTGTTATTACAAAATCAAGTTGTAAAACTCGCTTTAAAAATCGCCCATTACAGCTAATTCATACGCACTCTAACTTCACGTTTACTCTCACTTCCACTAACTTACTTCCACTAATTTGGTCGCCTATATATATTGCCCGACTGAGGCCTAGAACTTTCTACAAACTACGAGACGTTACGAGAAACAATACTCACTTAAAGCAACGAGAAAATTTCTGAATATTTGAGAAACATGACATCAATTCACAATAACTGAACTACGCAACAAATGATTCATAGACAGTTACGTAAGCAAATTTGCCATAGTTATCGCTTCTAAAAATAACTTAGTTTAACGCTCACACAATATAGACTAAATATTACTCTCGTATTAAATTTAAATGAAACAGTCGGGTATATCTAACAGACGAGTACATTCGATATCAGTAGCGGTTTTCACTTAAACATTTATTCCTGACTAAGTGAGGCGCTTTTTCAGTTATTTATTCAGTTAAACTGTCAAGTTCTACAAAGACATTGATATGGAAACATTAATAGTAACTTTTACAATGGAATTAATTGAAGGGTATTAGTCATTTTACTCTGACCAATAGAATTTCTCAGCTTGAGTAGTCGTTATAATTACATTCTTCAGTATGAGTTCTATGGAAGAAACAATACTTTCTTTAACTTATTTGATAATATTGTTGTGGTGTCACATACAGTAATTGTCACTCACTAAAGCCGTCTATTTGTTTATTTAACGAATAGAAATAGCCAGTATCCAAAGAAAATTATTTATTCCTGTAACGTTTCACCTTAGGCTTTGTCGAGAGGTAAACATCCTAGTCTTAACACCCGGTCTTAACAGAAGAAACAGCTAATGTAATTCAAAATAATATTAATGTGTTTTTATATATCATCTGACATGCAACTATGTTATCGACAATGATTGTTAACGCTGGGCTTGTGTTTAGTAGGTGTCTCCCTCTTGATAAGATAAGAAAACCTTGTATATTAAGTTATTTTGAGGTAGCTGATATTATAGGTTGTTGGAAATATAGAACATCAACATGTTAGATAGTCACATTATTTAGTCACGTGTGACCTACTGTGCATAAAACTATTTAAAGTTATGGGAAACTCCAACGAATAACCCTTCAAAAGCTGTATTGGCTGAAAGTGCGTTTGGAGAGAAACAACACTACATATGTAAGAATTGTGAGAAATAGTGCCTCATAGCTATAGTTCAGCAATCAAATGTATTTGTTCTAGCTGAATAATACCCCTACTGAGGTAAATTGGTAACTTTGGAGAATATCTAGAGGCTTACTGACAGCTCACTGCTTAGAACAAAATATCCAGTTACTCATGAACTTCAATACAAAAATACAAAGATATCTACAAGTGGTTTAAAACTTATTCAAGATCAAGAAAGAGGTGAACAAATGCCGTCCTTTGTTGTCAAGTGGTTGCTTAAACTAAAGAGAAATTAAAATTTTAAATGGCCAGAGGGTTCCAATACGTATCAGATCTCTATGTCTTTAGAGGGATGAAGAGAATTTTAGACATTGTTGCCAGCAGTAGTGATTTGTAACGTTCGAATCAAACTCGATGACTATATGCATAAAAGTGAATTTAAACCTTTCTTATTTTGCACTATGGATACCTCTTGATTGTATATATCAAACTCGAGTGATAGAATACTTCACTGAAGTTAAACAAACTATTTATAATAGGTTTCATATAACTGCAGTAAAGGTATAGATCACATATACTTTGCAAGCATAGTATTGGGCATAATCTTCTGTTTCAGTGATGACATTGCAAAACCTTCCCCATTATCTTTTGTCGGGCTTACGTACCGTACAACATCTAGCGTACGATCCGTTAACTTATTTGTTTACTTAATCAATTCGTTGTTAAACACAAGGCTGCACAGCAGACTATTTATGTTGTGCTCATCAGGGATGGAACCTCGAACTTTAGCGTTGTAAGCCATCGAGCTTATCGCTGAGCCTCCGAGGAACGTTTTGATTAATATATTAAATAAGATCCACTCCTCAGCTACAACCAGTGTAACAGAAGATTATGAATCTGGTAGATGTAGGCTAGTCGGAAAAGTAAAATGCTTTTCAGATATGTCAAATATTCTTAATTATTTAGTAAATGGATTGAAAAGTTGACTGGAGCAATGCTTCTCACAAGTCTTCACATGATGGTTTTATATAAGATGTTAACTTTTTCAAATGTAACAATTTTAATAATTATCTTATCGTGTTACATTAATAGTGTGACTCTTAGAAAGCCTATTTTTCAATCCCTTACATCTGATTGGTCGAACACCTGTCGTTCCTACTTAACCTAATCTAACCAGATACTGACATTAATTAGAGGTCGCTGTCTTCAGGAAAACAAAATGGTACGTCTATAACACCAAAAGAATGTCTTGTGCACACAAGCTCATCCTATTTTCCTTTTTGCGGTGTACTAATTACATTGTATTGGTAAAAAACGAGGAAAATGTAATTGTTGAGGTTTAATAAACACTAATATACTCTGGTCGCTCTGGAAATGCTCATGCAAACTACTGTAAACTAAAGAATTTCCTTAAATGATACGTCGAGGATTAAGTAACAACGCTCTTATCCATTGGGTTAAAAACTAGTTTTTTTATATTAATTATGTTAATAATCCTTGAACTTTATGTAAGAGGTACCTTTTAATTAACATTTTTATTTACAGTTACAAAGGAACTCCAGGAACCAATATTGGTGGCCCCAGTGTAGGTTTGTCGTTTGGAAGATGGAAGATGTGGACAGAAGCGGGCAGGATTGTTTCAAATAAATATCATTTCGTCATGTAGTGAACGGAATAGAATGTACTACGTTTCTCTTCTTCTCTTACTTTTTAAAACTTTTTTGATTGTGAAATCTTTTTTTTTTTTCACTATTTAGTTATATCTTACTTCATTCATAAACATGATGTATAACACCATGCTGTTTTTGTAAATATTTGTCGCCTCCAACTCGAGTTGCTGAAATTCCTTATGTATATGAATCTCATGTCATTTCATCAAGGCTTCAAAGTCGGATATACCGATAAAAGAAATTGACTCATTGATGGTCTCATGACAAAGAAGTGTCACCATTTTCTTCAAGTTGCCATTTCAATGTTATCAAACTACGCGAAGGTGTAAGCAGCGAAGGCAGTGGATATGGACGGTTATTTTTAGTTTAATATTTTTAAGGAGAAGGTGCCTTGTAGTGGATCGGTTACTGCATTAATAAAAATATTGTTCTTAACGCGCTTATTAGTTAATGCTTAACTTTTATTTATACCAATCATCAGAGGCTTTAATATCACAGTACTTTTTAAAACTTTAACACTTCCATCTATAAAAACTCTTCCAGTACATTACAGAAGAACGAAGCACAGCCACCTTGCTGTTGTGTGCCTCTAATTACCATGACAACACCTTACCTGTATACCTCTGATTACCTTAACAAAATTGTATCTGTATACCTCTGATTACCATGACAACACTTCATCTGTATAACTCTCATTACCTTGATGAAACTTCAGCTGTATACTTCTGATTACCATGTCCATCTTTCTGTTATGAAACTGTAATTAAAAAAAGAAAAAAAAAGCTATACATATGTGCTTGAGAAACTGTCCTTTGTTATCTTGTGATTACCATGACAACCTTACTGTCTGACACTTGTGATAAAATACATATATGAATAACAAACCCTCTATGGTTCAGCGGTAAGTTTGTGAGCTTATAAAACAAAATTTATTGGGTTCGATCCCTGCGGCTGGCATGACACAAATAATCCATTATGGATTTTTGTGCTCAACAACTAAGAAACATGTATAACAGACTTTCTATCACATAATGCTGACATATAGCTCGTGTGAATTTATGAAATGGTGCAAGTCGAAAATTAAAACGACCTGTTTCTTTAAATTAGAACTATTTAGTCTTAACACATTCACAATTTGGTCTTCTCTATATCAAAGTAATTTTATACTATTTTTGAATTCATTATTATCATTTGGGTCAAATTACTTTTGAAAGAGTTTATTCTAGACAGTTCCCACATTTATCTGAAAAGGAGGTTGAATGTGTCAAGAATAAACTATAAAATACAAAGCTTTATTTAAAATATTAATCAATACTCATTTCTAATGAAATATATCCATTAGTAATGTCTCATACTCCTTGCGTTGACTAAAATATTTTGTTCTTCAAAACTGACCTCGCTTCGCAATCTGTAGGTCGCGGGTTCGAATTCCACCATTGAACATGCTTGCCCTTTCAGCCTTGGGGGCGTTATAATGTGACATTCAATCCCACTAAAAGAGTAGCCCAAAGGTTGGCGGTTGGTATGATTAACTAGCTGCCTTTCCTCTTGTCTTTCACTTTTAAATTAGGGACGGCTAGCACAAATAGCCCTCGAGTAGTTTTGCGTGAAACTAAACAAATAAACAACTTTTCAAACTAAGTTTCCATGGGAAATTATGGCGCGATTAAAATATTAATTACGTTGAAAATGTTTACCTCTAGCTATTTATAGGTTATTTTTATATATATAATGAATCTCTTCAAATTATAAAACGCTTTTGATTATATGGTGAACTTGGAAATTCAACGATAAAATAAGCAATTAACTACGGTCTTTGAAAAATCAAAAGCTATGCATCTAAATGGAAAGGGAGCACAAACGGCGTTTACTTTTGAACTACTGACGTAAGGAAAGACAGACAACAAAATCCTCTGCCGCAATGGCTTTATCCGCTCTTTAAGCAGAATGACAGAATTGACTGTCATTTTTATAACGCGCCGAACTCTGGACCTTATTTCATGTTAATGAAAACAGTCACACAATCCCCATTTAGACACTACTTCATGTAAATAACAACACGATGAACACGTAGTCAGTAATAAGTATAAACAACCACACAACGAACACCTATAAAATACTTCCTGTAAATAACAACACAAAATAGCGCTCATTTAGATAACGCTTCAGGTAAACAATAGCACAATGTTCCCCCAGGTACTACTTCATTTACACAACAAAATCCACACATATACATTATTTCATGTAAATAAGACACAACCAGACAATGACAATAATTAATGTAAAAAACAAAACAGTGCAAACCTAGACTAATTCGTGTAAAGAGAAATACGAGACAATGCTCACCTAAACACTGTATAATACAAACTACAATATATATCCCCACCTAGACACTACTTCATGTGCACAACAACACAATGCACATGTAGACACTACTTTACATAAATAATAACACATTGCACACCTAGAGGATACTTCATATATAGAACAACATAATGCACACCTGGACACTAATTCATATACAAAACATCACAATGCACACCTGGACACCAATTCATGTACACAATAACACAATGCGTACTTAGACACTAATTTGTGCATATAGCAGCAATGTGCACATCTACACACTAGTTCGTGTACACAACAACCCAATGAACACGCAGACAATACTGTATCCAAATATTAACATAACAAAATGCTCTCCTAGGCAGCATTCTATGTAAACAACAACATAATACTACATATAAACAAGAACATAATGTCGTGCTCACTTAAACACTGCTCCATGAAAATAATATATTATCCACTAAAATACAATTCAGTAAAGATAACAATACAACACAGTGCTTACTGAGATATTGCTTCATATAACTAAACAACACAATGCACACTTTGACACTACTTCATGTAAACAACCAAATGTAATGTTTATCTATACACTATTCCATATAAAGAGGAAAATAATACAATGCCCACATAGACACCATTCCATTAAAACAACAACAAACGCAGAAATAACCTAGACGCCATTCAATGAAAAGAATAAAATACATTGACCTCTAAACACAATTCCATGAAATGAACACAATACATTTGCCACTTAAACATCATTTTGTGAAAAGAACACAATACATTTGCCACTTAAACATCATTCTGTGAAAAGAACACAATATATGCCTACCTAAATACCATTCCATAAAAAGAACACAATACATGCCCAGCTAAATACCATTCCATAAAAAGAACACAATACATGGCCACCTAAATACCATTCCATAAAAAGAACACAACACATTGCCCACCTAAACACCATTCCATAAAAATAACACAATACATTGCCCACCTAGACAACAATTCGTGAAAAGAACACAATACATTGTCCACCTAGACAATAATCTATGAAAAGAACACAATACATTGTCCACCTGAAGACCATTCCATGAAAAGAACACTATACATTTCTCCACTTAGACAACAATCCATGAAAGAACAAAATACATTGCCCACCTAGACACTATTCTATGAAAAACCGACACAACGCAGTGCGTTCTTAGATGCTGCACCACATAAAGAAAAACTCAATGCAATGATCATCTAGACACTACCCATGTAACGTTATCTACTGTTGAATAATATATATATAATATGTATTTTACTCACACAATTATTTCACATTTATATAGGAACTCAAAGAATATGCAGCGTTAATGCAATTAATTTATTCTTGTAAATTATTCAGTTCGTGGTAAATCGAATTTTTATAATAGTTATGCTAGATTAATTTTTGAATCTTATTTTTCAATGTCAACATAATATAAAGGGGCAATAAGACTGAACTCATCAAGTTGTAATCTTATGTATGGTGTAAATCACCAAACTATTTAAATGTATAGATCCTTTAAAAATGATACTTTCATATTGCTTTTTTTATTAATTTATCAGCTTATCTCTATTATAGTGTAATTAATAATGATAATTTTTCAAATATTAAAAAAAACGGGAAAATTATCAACTTAAGTTTTGCTTTCGTACACTTCAATTTATCATTTCTTTATTGCATGGCTGCAAGAGTAGTTTCATAGCTTCCCGGTGGCTCAACCGTGAGTCTGGGGGCTGATAACACTAAAAATCGGATTTCGATACCCGCGGCGAAAAGACTACAGATAGCCTGTTGTATAGCTTTGTGCTTAACAAACAAACATATATTATTATCACTAATTTTGTTTCAAAAGTACAATCAAAATTACTTGTCGTGCTTTCCAAAAAGATGTAGTACGCTAGTACCTTGTTATAGTTTATATGACTGTATATGTATTTCTAAAGAAGGAACATCTAATTTCCAAAAGTGTTTAGTTTATCTTGTTTCTTATTTCTTGATCATATGTTATATGATGAGTATTTAGTGATAAACACAGTAACTATCAGAAATCTTGAAAATACAGAAAATAGTTTCGACAGATTCGTGAGTCCTCTTCAGAAGAAAACGTGAGACTGAAAATGACCCACGAATGTGTCGAAACTAGTTTCTCTAATTTCAAGTCATATGATAATTAATTCCATTTACTGTGGGTTTGTTCAGTAACTTCTATACACGATATTATTTGTGTTATTTTATTATTTTGATTACTTACCCAACTATTTATCACCATCTTCCGAAGGGTTATTATTATTAAAGTTATTATTTAAAACAATTTAAAAACTGTTAATTTTTATCTCAGAACTTCTCTATAAACATGTACACACACATTTCAAGTGTACAAATATTGGAGGACTAAATATGAACAAAAATGAACTAGTTTTAATATATTTTCACATCAACAGATGACACTGTAAATCTAATATTGTCCGCCACAAGTTTCCAAGTTGATTTTTGTTTGTAGTTAAGCGCAAAGCACCACAATGGGTTGGCTATCTGTGCTATGCCGACAACAGGTACCGAAACCCGGTTTTTAGCATTATCAGCCTACAGACTTACCGCTGTCCTACTAGAGAGCTTTCCGAGTTGAATGTAGTTAATAGGTGATAAATACACTATACCTTGTAAGTAATCTAAACTTTATTTTTGATTATAGTGAGCTTTAACTGTAGTGTAATTTAAAATACATATTTATGGCTACCATTAAAATAACAGCTGAATGGTTTGTATTGGAGACTAATGTTATGTCTACAAGTAAAACGAAATTAAAATTAGTTACACAACCTCAAAGTCTAGCATTTCGTTATCAAAGCCCCACTTGGTGTTAAGCCAACGATAACAACGAGTCAATCACTACAAAACTCAAAAGATTATATATAAATTAACCGAAAGTTTAGGGGAGAAAACATCAATAAAGTTTAATCAAATACTTGTATGAGAAAAAAAAAGCTGTAATTGTTCAGTAAACTAACACTGAACATTTAAACCTTTTTCCCGTCATTTTTTTTTACAAAAAAAAGCAT